GTGCTCAGCTTCTGAGCCTTGTGATCCCTTAGCCTCTGCCTCCTTGGGCCAGGAAGCCCACCTGCAGCTCTGCCTCAGTCTGCTTGCTGCTCCTTTGCTCTGCCCTATGGTCCCTGTGCCACAGTCCCTGGTGCCTCTGGTCTCAGCCTCCCCACCTCAGACAGAAATCTGGAATGTGCTCTTCTTCAGATGGTCCTGGCCTTTCTCTCTTTTCCTGCTCATCCTTGTGGTCAAGGGAGTGATATCTGACATGGTCTCATCCCCACTATGAGATGCCCTCGTTGCATAGCTCCAGCCATTCATTTGCTGGGAGTTGCAGAGCCGTGGCTAAACCCAAACTCACTGCCATTGAGCCAATTCTGACTCACAGTGACCCTACAGACAGAGGAGAACTGCCCTGTGGGTTTCCAGACAGAAACTCTTCGGGGAGTAGAGAGCCTCATCTTTCTCTCAAAGGGACGGGACAGAGGAGCCATATCTGGACATTTCTCTCCACCACAAAGGGAATCATGCATTTTTCCTGTTGCCTTTCTGGACTACAAATTGCACCATGTCAAGGAGCTTGGCTATGCCAGACAACACTAACGGTTCCCAAGAGGAGGAGAGGAGGAGGAAGAGGCAGACAAGCAGGACAGCGAGCAACTGCCACCCCTGATGCATCCAGGTCACCTTGTCTCTGCCTGCTTCCAGATCCTCTCTTTCCTGTCTTTCAGTGTTTGGGACAGAGCCTGATATGATCCGGGATGGGTCAACCATCCCAGTTGCCAAAATGTTTCAGGATGTCCTCCAAAAGAGTGTGATGATGCTTCCCCTGGGGGCCGTTGACGACGGAGAACACTCCCAGAACGAGAAAATCAACAGGTGAGCTGATCAGTGGGGGTAGCCCCTTACCACACCACCCCAGGGCCTCCACACTGGGGATCCCCATGTAGCTGACATAGGAATGGAGCATAATATCCTACAGGAAGGATACCTAGGAATGCTTGGTGTACTACACTCAATCTGCTTGTTATCCTAGATTCAGTCTGCTTGGTAAATCACAATCAGTCTGTTTGGTAAACCACATCAGTGTATTTGGTATACCACACTCAATGTACTTGGTATAGCACACTCAGTCTGCTTGGTATATCACACGCAGCTTACTTGGTATACCACACTCAGTGTAGTTGGTATAATATACTCAGTCTGCTTGGTATATCACACTCAGTGTACTTGGTATAGCACACTCAGTCTGCTTGGTATATCACACTCAGTGTACTTGGTATATCACTTGGTATATCACACTCAGTGTATTTGGTATACCACACTCAGTGTGCTTGGTATATCACACTCCGTGTACTTGGTCTACCACACTCAGTGTACTTGGTATATCACATTCTTGCCACTCTGTTGCATCTCCCCGGTTCCCAGTTCCAGTAAGAAGGGCAGCACTGGGCGGGGCACCCATGCCCCACCAGCGGTAGGAGCCTGAACAAAATGGATTTGTTTTAAAGTCGATAGTCCTAGACAGAACCCATTATCTTGATGATAATCCTATGTTCCTTCATCCCCATGGAAATAACACAATTTCCCTCCTTCTTTCTTGTGCTAGGTGGAACTACATAGAGGGGTCCAAAGTCTTTGCTGCCTTCTTCCTAGAGCTGGCTAAACTGCATGAGTGATGATGGAACCAGTTCTTCCAGCTCTGAGCCAGCCCACCACTGACGCCCCTCCCAGCTGCCTGGAGACACGGAGTCTGTCCCTCAGTAGATTAGTGCTCTTCCTCAGGCCTCCCGCTCCCACCCTCCACACACACTGAAAGTGTCTGGAGACAGTGGGACCAATAATAAATACTTTTAAAAGTCTGACCTTGGGGATGTTTCCATGTGCTCTGCACACCGCCCTAGGGATCTCCAGAGAAGGAGAGCCAGGAAGGGAGGGATTGTAAGCAACTGGCTTCTGCAGCTGTTTGGGCTAGAGGCTGTCGGTGAGGCTTAGGCTGCAAACTGTTAAGTGATTCACTTAGGATGGAGGCAGAATCCTTTCTCGGGAATGCTGTCGTTTGTTCTTAACGACCTTTGCCTGACTAGATGAGACTCCCTGACATCCAGGGCAATCTCCTTTATTTAGACTCAATTGATCTAGATGTTAATCACATGTAAATAATGTCTCTGTACCATCTAGATATGTGTTTGATTAAACAACTTCACTGGGCACTACAAACGAGCCAAGTTGATACATAAAATGAACCATCACACACACACCCCTTCCCACAGTGACTGCTCAGTCCTACTTTGATGTCTCCAGTAGCCCCAGGACTGGGCTCAGCCTAGCCTTCAAGCGCGCAGTCCTGGGAGTGCTGTGGGACTGGGCTGTAGGCGTTGGGCTGCTCACTGCAAGATCGGTGGCTCAAGCCCACCAGCCATGCAGTAGCAGAAAGATGAGGCTGCCTCGTGGCATAGTGGTTACGCAAAGGGCTGCTAACTGCAATTTCAGTCGTCTAAAACCACCAGGTGCTCCTTGGGAGAAAGATAATTTACAGTTCTAGGAACCCGCAGATGCAATGCTGCCCTGTCCTATGGCAGTACGTTTATTTCTTTGGGGGTGGGTAGGGGCGGGGTCCGAGTCAGATTCAACTCAAAGGCAGTGTTTTTCATTTGTTTCAACTTTCAAGCACATGAGGGCCATCCTTCAGGTAAGTCAATTCTCTCCTGGCAGCTCAATTGGCATAATCACATCCATTTGTTTTCCGCTGCCAACGTGCTAACGTAACCTCTACAAAGAACCACTCCCGAGGCTGACCTGACCAGTGGTGAGGGCCAGTTCCCTGTGGAAACCGGGTTGAGGCAGTTAGGAAAGCAGGCTCCCGGAGGGATCTCTGACTCCCCACCTCCACCTGTTCTTCTGCCTCTTGAGTTCTGACACTGAGATGGTCAGTGTTCAGACCCGACGCCACGCGGGACGGAGGCCTGGTGCAAAGCTGAGTACAATACTCTCGCGTTCCCCGCTTCCGCACCTTGGCTGAAAGGATCCCTGGGTGTGCAGCAGTGACGTGCTGGACTGTGATCCCACTGAACCTCGGGAGGAAGATGGGGCTTTCTACTCCCATGAAGAGTCAGTCTTGGAAACTCATGATTCCACCTTAGAGTCGCTGAGTCACAACTCCAAGGCAGTGAGGTTGGTTGTTGTTGTTACCTTTGCTGTGGTTGCTGCCACCCAGCCAGCCCCTCCCACACACGGCTCTCCTCCCACCCCATCAGAGACGATTCCCTTCCCACCTCTGTACACCCCAGTACCACAAAGCACCCGGCAGCATCTCCCTCGCCCCAGTGGAAGTTGACTCGATGACTAACTACATCTAAATTGCCCCACGCTTTTAATAGCATCACTTTAGACAGAGAACTAATCAACCGTGACATCAACAACACATGCTAAATTTAAAGCCATCCGCCTGTGTCCCAGCCATTAATCATTTTAGTTAACTGGCTTATTTGGCTTGATTGGATCTGATGGTATAAACAACCACTGCCACCAAAAAAAGTAAGTAATCTCTTTACAGCTGAGAGTATGTAAACAAATCAGTGCCATCTTCATACAGTCATTATTTAATTCACATTAATGGTGAAGAACTTACAGGTTTATTAAAAATGTGATTCTCCATATTCCAAATAAAAACAGAGCGGAGAGCATTTGCCTTCCGTGTGTTCTATCTTGTCATTGGTTCTTGAAGTGTCAGCTTTAAGACTAGCTGGCCCAGCGCTGCAGCGAGCAGACTGCGTGTGGGTGGGGCCGTCGGTAGGTGTACTTGCTGGGACTCATCACAGAGGGGAGTTGACCATCTGTCAGAGAGCCGACTTCCAATCATCCACCACCAGCACTGCATTCTTTAAAAACCTAAACAAGACAAAACCCTCATCCTATTTCTTTAGGGATTTGGCAAATAAAATCAGAACATTGTAAAGACCTTGATTTGATGAAGAAAAAAACAAATGCATTTCACTGCTCTACACACAGGTTGCTCTACAAACTCCAGATTCCCTGCCACAGAGGCGATTCAACGGCTATGAACTACAGTGGCTTCTGAAGTGCCCATCAGCCGACAAAGAACAAGCCAATCAGCCCTGGAGAATCCCAGCCGGTGTGCACCTGAGAGGCCAGGATGGTGAGACTTCGGCCATCTCCCACACTTTGGACATGTGGTCAGGATAGACCAGTCCCTGGAGAAGGACATCACACTTGGTAAAACAGAGATGCAGCAAAAAACAAACAAACAAACAAAAACGGGCATGGGGGAAGGTGCCCGAGAAGATGGATTGGCGCCGTGGCTGCAGCAACGGGCTTGGACATGAGAACCGCGGTGAACACGGTGCCAGGTGGCCCGGGCAGCTGCGTTCCCTTCTGCTGGGCATCGGATCGCTGTGAGCCAGAACCGACTTGAGGGCACCGGACGGCACAGCAGCAACAACCACAGACACTGTGTGTTACATGCTTGTGAGATGGATGCAGTCAAACCATCCTTAATGGCCTGCAGGGACACCTGCAACCGTCACCACTACCCTGTTCTGAAACTTTATTTTAGTAGATCATGTCATGGGGGGCTCTTACACGCTCATCAGTTGGACAATTGAGCACATTTGTAGGTAGGTTGCCATCGTCATTTCCTCAACATCACCTTTCTACTCGAGCCCTTTGTACCAGCTCCTCTTTTTTCCCCTCCCACCCACATGAAACCTTGACAATTTATAAATTGTTTTTATTTTCCTATTTTACACGGTCTGCTGTCGCCCTTCACCCACTTTTCTGTTGCTCGTCCCCCCTGGGGGATGGGGGTCTGAGATAGTTAAGGTTTATTGTACCTGCCTGGCCGATAAATACATGTGGGATTAACTGAAGGGTGGAGAGATAAATGGCTGGGTGAGCCTCACCTTTCTAGTTCTCAGGTCTGTTGCTCTCTGATGGTCGGACCAGGGTGCAGTTGCCTTAGCCAGTTCCCTGCTTCAGCTGGCAAGGCTCACTTCCTGGGAGACATCCCTGAGGAGAAGCTGCATGGACCTACCCCAATGCAGCCCTGGGTGCTGGAACAGCCATGTGGAGACCCCAGCGCTGAGATGCTTACATGCTCACTGATTCGGCTTTCCTCCTGCAGTTGGCACCATTGCGTCTGTTTTGTGAGATGGAGGAGGACTTTGTGGATCGGTGTTGGACATATGGGCTAATGTTGGACTTGTAGGCTTGGACAGTACTGGGTTGGGATGCTTTCTTAATGTGCATTTACCCTTTATATAAAACTCTCTCTGTGGATTTGTTTCCCTAGTGTACCCAGACTAACACAGGGTTGTACGTCAATCATTGTGGTCAGTTCTTTTCTCCCCCCTCTTTCCCCGTACCCTCATGGTATCGCTACTCTCACTGGTGGTGGTTTCCAACTGCTGACCTTGCGGTGCCAGCCCCACTTGTAACCATGCAATAGGCATCCATCTCAATGGCTGGCATCTTCCTCTTAACCCTGCAGTTTCCACTTTTGGGATCCTGGACCTCTGTGTCCTTCCCTTCGCAGACCCATCATGCTTAGCTGGATCCACCTTGGCACCAGTTAGTGTCAGGAGAAGCACATATTGTGGTGCGCTGACTGATAAGGGTGCCTTGTGTCTCCTGCCTGGACAGTGTTTGTGCTTTAAGGCTGGTAACACCTGTGTTTGAAGACCACGGACTCAAAGCGCACCCCTGTGTGCAGTGTGGGGCGTTCGCACTATGGGGAATGTTTCTGAACTCAATGCCAGCATTTTACAATGAGCAGAACGCACATGAGATTTCTCTTGAGCCACTAGAAGACTGGATGACACTGACCTACTGTCCCTGCAGGGTGTCTTCCAGCTGAGCCAAGGACTGGTGGCCCCTAAATATCAGCAGAACCCCTGACCTGCAACACATGCTCAACAAAGGCTAGGCATCACAGTTGTTAATCGATATCTTAGAAGTGGGACAATAAGAAAGCTCACAAAAGAATGGAAAAACCAGCCACCCAAAGCACTCCTCTGAGCCACTCTCGGCTACCCTCTGTGGGAGAGTAGAACTGTCTGTACTGCTTTCTGGGAGAAAGGCGGGGCTTTCTACTCCTGCAAGGATTTTTACTCCAGCAAGATTTTTAAGAGCTCTAAAGAGCCCTGGTGGTGTAGTGGTTACACATCGGGGTGCAAACCACAGGTCATCAGTTCAAAACCATCAGGCACTGCTTGGGAGAAAGACGGGGCTTTCTACTCTCGTAGAGTCACAGTCTCAGAAACTCACAGGGACAGGTCCACCCTCACCTACAGGGTCCTTATGAGTCGGCATCCACTTGATGGGAGGGAGAGAGGGAGAGAGGGAGGGAGGGAGTGAGCGAGCAAGCAAGCGGTTTAAATGTCCCAGAAACCCACAGGAGCAGGTCTGCCCCATCCTATCAGGTCCCTAGAAGTCTGCATGGACTTGAAGACAATGCATTTGGGTTTGGGCTCGGGGGTTTTCTTGGCTGTAATCTTTATGGAAAGAGATCACTAAGCCTTTCTGCCACAGTGCCTCCAGGTGGACTCAAACATTCAAGCTTTGGGTGAGAAGTTGAGAGCAACCCATTTGTACCTTTCGACTGAAAACCAAACCCACTGCCCTCTCAACGCTTCCGGCGGATAGCGACCCTAAAGGCCGTGGTCGATCTGCCTCAGTGGGCTTCAGAGAGTGTACATCTTATGGGAGTCGACAGTCTCATCCTTCGCCCACCAAACGGTGGGTTTGAACCGCTGGCCTTGGGGTTAGTAGGTCGACTCATAACCCATTGTGCTGCCAGGGCTTCTTTTGTGCCACCCAGGGACCCAGAGAAGAACAGAAATGAGCT